TTATTTTACTATGGTGCATAAAAAAAGATATACATAGAGTTAGGCAAAGTAAATGTTATAGATTATGCGAGAAAATTTCAAAATTATTTCACTCACAGCCTACATCCAATATCATGAGTCCCTCTCCTCAGATTTTAATAATCTCCTTGAAGATTATAATCATTGGATGCTCATCAATCTGGCCACCATATGGCTATTTGTAATATCAATTTCTTTATTGTTCACATAATTAGCAATTAAATTACTTACTTGAGGGTCACTCTTCCAATAGCATTTTTGGCTCCAACTCACTAGATAGCTCATAGTATTATGAAACCTTTACTATAAATGTATATGTTAGTTGAACTCATAATGTCAATAGTAGCATGATGCATAGAGATAAGTAAAATAATAAATTGATTCGAATATTATCATATAATTTCTAGTTTCTTTCTCACTAGTTACATTTAGAATTAATTCAAGACATTTATTGGCTGTGCTGTCTACATTCCTCATGTTGTAGACATAGACAACTCTGAAATGTATGCATGCACTTCAATTAGGCTTTGATGGAATTGAGTAACACCTAATCATCATGCACTCACACTCTCAACCTCACATTTCAGCTCATGAATTAGTACATTTGTTAGTTTTCTTCCTCTCTCCCTCTTTCAATGTGTGAAGGTCTCCAAAGTTATAAACCCCATGTTTACAACAATCTCCTCAGATGACTAAAAGTCTATTGTACTCTACTGCTACAATTAATATTAAAATTTTTAATCTCAATGTTATTCAAATAGTTTAAGTATCTTGTTGTTATTTATTGCATCATGCTCATGTTAAATATGACTTTCCATTCAATAGATGCATTCTCTTAAATAAATTAAATTTATCTGTTATTCACAACTTGTGGAATCAAAGAGAATGGCATTCATTTCTTAATTCTTCAGTTCTTGAGGGTAAAAGAAGAATATTGGGCAAGCAAGCTTCTCATAAGTCACTCAAGGTAATTTCAAATAATGAGTGATTTGCACAATGGATAAGCTAAAAAATTTTGGTTTTAAGAGCATCTAATAATATTTGGAGAATAAAACTTTAGAATAACCCAAAATTAAAGCCACTGATTTGTGATAATGAGGGAAAAAAAACATAACACATGAACCATTCTATGTTAATTATAATAGATTAAGTTTTACTCTATGTCATGAGAAAATCAAGAGTCATAAGTTATTATTAAAGAATAAATTAGTTAAGTTTCATACGTTTCACAAGATTAAGTTTTACTCTATGTCATAAGTTTCTTAATTATAATAGATAAGTTTCATGTACTTATTAACATTGGAGTCATAAGTTAAGTTATGACAATGTTGTGATACTTTCTGAAAGAATAAATTAGGAATAAATAAACTTCAATTTTTAAGTATTTATTTATGCACATCCTTGAATAAATTTGCTCAAAAATTATATAAGCTTAATTTTTCTTGGTAATTAATGGAACTATATTAATAATTTGAATTTTATGTTGTGGATTTGATAATATAAATTTTATATCACCTTGTGAAAACTAGTTGATTTCTTATGAGACCAATCTATAAATTACATATCATTTTAATCAACTTAAATAAATGTAAAAAAATATTATTGGATGGTGACACAAGCCTTATTGATCTTTGTAATAAAAAAATCCATTCTAATTAAGGTTTCCAGATTTAAACTTTAATTTTGCATAGGTGTACATAAATAAACACTATTTTGTGTTGCATAGATAATATATGTTGAAAATATTGGGTGTGATGAGACCATGAAAGAATAAAGAGGGGTGGGGGTGATTTTTTTTTTTTTTTTTATGATCTTGTAAGATAAATAGTATTAATGAAAATTTATGAAGTACATTACAATTTGGCAAGAGAAACATATTACTTATAGTTGTTTGCTCTCTTGGTCCGTTTCAGTCTTTGAGGTATCCTTGTAGGTTTGATCATTGATAGATGGTACAACAACTAATTATTTTGCATCAGCTTACCACCACTAGCTTCACAACTCTAATATCTTAAATTGTCCTCCAATGTTGTCTTTCTTCGTGAGCTTTAGATTGGGGATATATCATTTTCCTAGTATATTTTGGTGCTTAATTAACAATACTATATGATTAATTAGTATAATCTCATGTAAGTTCATGTTGTTTTGTATTTTTTGTGAACATTTAATACATTGAAACACTAAATTGTACATAATAACTTGTATCAAACTATAAAAGCCATATGTTATGCTACTCCAAAATGGTATGCTATTGCAAAATTTAAATTTGTGTACTTTAATGCTAAGTTTGATACATGGTTATTTATAGTGGTCATAAGGTGGGATAGAATGCCAAAATGGGGGTGAATTAGGTCTTTTCACTTTTATTTCATTTTTGATATTTTTGGACGTTTATATTTATTATGCACCAAGTGGATCAACATAAACCTAATTGGGTTGATGTTGGCTGAGTAGGGTTGACAGAAATTGGCTCGATTAGAGTAGATCAACATAGTGGATGAACACACTAAACAAGAAAGAAAAGTGAATACTTAGATTTATGTTTTTTTTGTTTTTATTTACCAAAGGTTCATACCATTGGTTTCACTATTACCTACCAAAGAATTAAAATTCAAATTCAAATTCAAATGATCAACATATCTCATTACACTATAGGTCTTTCACAAATCTATTCCCTAGGCTAAACAGTTAGGTGTTAGTTTGTTTTCTTCTTCTTTTGTTGCTAGTACTCCCAAAATCTCTTCACATAAAAATGACAAAAGAAGACCTAAAAGCCAATCTTGGAGTTGAGAGGATGAACTTTTTTGATTTTATCTTCTCTTCATTGATTGAAGTTGTGGCAAGGTTTTGATTAAAGCAGAAAATGGATGCATATTTTCAGGAAAACATAGAATGATTTCATCCATCATTAAGGCATTCTTTGAAGGTTTTTGATATGCACTATTAATTGATCCCAAAAAATCAACTTTTTGGAGTTCAAATTATTGAAATTTGAGTAGTCAAATACTATTTGAGCTGACCCACATGGTAGGAGAGCCTATCAATTTGTCTATACCACTTTTTACATGTTTCACCATGAGATTTTTTAATTTTTCCTATGATCTTTTGACATCTCAAGATATGTTGTAGCTTGTCATAAAATCTTCTAACATATGTTAGATCTTTGCGACATGTCTAACATGTCAAATATCTTTTAGAAAATCTTCTTTTCTCTCTCTAGAGATTTTATTTCTTCATAAATGGGTTGACAGATTACTCTCACCATTGCTTTGGTCGAGTCAACACAGTATCTATCTCCTCTAATTTTGCTCAGTTAACACACATTCACTATATTATATTTTTTCTCATATATTATTTTTCTTTTTGTTCTCAATCCAACTTTATTAGATTATAAATATTTATTGAGGATTCTTTTCATTATGTTTTGTGTGAGGAACATAATCTAACAAAGAAATTAACCTGATCTAACAATTTAGATCTTCATCTGAGCATTAGTGTGAAATAAGATATTTTTGAAACAAAATTATATTTTTTACAATATGTCAACATCAAAATCTCTAAACCAACAACCTAAGTATTGTCTTGAACCTACAGTCCGGCCATAATAATCTCTCTCTCTCTCTCTCTCTCTCTCTCTCTCTCTCTCTCTCTCACTCCCTCAGGTGACCTAATTCTTGTAAATATAAGTCTGTAGTGCCATCTTAATTACAATCTTTGGTACATAGCTGAATTTTTATAAGAAACGGTTAATTTTCTAATAAATTTATTTATTCGAGGGGGTGGGGGGGGGTGTGGGGCAGAGAAGGCGGACGACCTATTCTCCTTCCTCGACTTCTCTTTGATGCCCAATAAAAACCCAATCTGCCGCTTCCCACGGCCCTCCCTCCCACTTAAGTCGGCCCAGTTGGGAAGTGGAGATAGTTAGGCCCGAAATGAGAAACAACCCACTTAAAGGTAATGTGAACAGTACCGGCCCAATAACGAAAACAGGCCTTACTATTTTAAAAGGGACCACTTCGCCCTAATTAGGGCGCGCCGAATTCAAACGAGGAATTTGATGGCGGCAGTGACTCAGTTTAGATCGTCTCTTTTATCCGCCTCTTCCTATCAGCTTCCTAGTCGACCAGGGCCAGATTCCAGAAGAAGGATTCACGTGAAACGAGATTTAGTCAGCATTGCAGACGCCGGCGGTGGCGGCGTCGGCAGCATCCTCAAGGTTTATCTCCTCTCCGTCTCACAATCTCGGCGTCCAACTTTGATCAAGGCTGGAATCTGGCGTAAGAGGCTGCTGCCGTCTTGTTCCCCCCCTCAACACGCACGACGGCTTAGTCCTTGAGATTGCGGCGGTAACTTCAAATCTGGAGTGACTCTATGGTGCTATTGCGATTTTATTTAAATTGTGGCAATGTTGGGGCACCTTTGGTTCAATCGATCCTCCAGTATAAATCTGGAGTGATCATCTAATTGTTCCAAACTTATTTCTTATTTTTTTAGGTTAAATATATTTATTTAGGATAGTATGCGAAATATTTGAATATTTATGCATTAAAATTTCATATATAATATTTACTTGAATATGAATAATCATTTATATATTAATCTGATTTTAAAATTGGAAATTATTATATTTAATTATAAAGAAAATGATGAATCGATTCACCTCCCTCTCCCCTCTTGATTCAACTAGCCAGCAAACTAGGGACCAAAAAGAGGATCTATCCGCCTTAAAGGTTTTTGTTACTCCGGTATGTTCGATCTTATCCATTTATATAATTCGTAGCCTTTTGCATTTGTTCAATGGAGGGATCCGACAAACCTAGTGGGGTGTTAGAAGGAACCAGCCGGCGTCTAGTTTGTTGCGCGTGGTGTTACATTAGTTCCTCTGTGGTTGAGTTTCCTAGGGACTATTCTCAGGATCTCTCACATGTGCGAGATTCAAACATCCCTTGCAGGAGTATCGTCATCCACCCTTGTTCATGGAGATGACCAGTGATCAGCAGTCTTCGGCTGTGCTGACCTCTATGGAGCTCGAATCTTCTATGGGAGTCGGCATCGATAAGCTTCCTCCTAAGCCAAAGTTTGCTGCTCTCTCGGTACAGGAGATGGTTGGGAAGATGGAGTTTCGAAGGATTCCGGTTCCACCCATCGGTACTCTCCTCTGAAGAAGAACTGGATGGGGATATACACCCCCGTTTACGAACAAATGAAGATTGATACCCGGATGAACCGCAAGGTGAGCTTTTCATGGATTTCTCCCTTGGTTTTTAACTGGAGTAGGTAATTGCTCAAGTTCCTTAAGTTAAGAGCATCATTTTGTGCTGGGTTACACAAGCATCGCTTCTGGATTGCAGGAAAAACAGTGAATGTCTATCTATGGCCGATCCAAAGAGTGTTGACATAATCATCTGTAAACAACATTCGATTTCACCCGGCCTACATGTATCCATTCAACTGGCAGTCTATAGGTTTTTCTGCGTGTCGTTCATCACGTTTTTATATATGGGACCTGCCACACATTTACTCAGCTGAATCACCTCTCCCTGAATAAGAGATCTCTCCCATGTAAGAATACTAGACATGTTTCTGTTTCTCGAATTTCTGATTATGTTGTTCTTTTATCTGCATCTCGATGTTCAAGCTGAATAATCCTGCCATAACAGACGAAGTCTCACTGCCCACCTGTGTTTCGAATCCGCCCACCTCTTGTTCTTGCACCCAATGTAGGTGGCTTCGCTTTCACATTATTTTATCCCTGGAAGAATTTTCGATCTTACTGTATGGTGTTCTTATGATTAATGAATGTTCTCGCCCAAGTTTTGAGCTGTTGATCGATGTTCTCGGCTTTTTTCTCCCTCAGGCCCGGAAGGTCGAACTGAAGACCAGACAGGACGCGCCCGAGGTGAACCTGCAGAAGTGTGCAGACTTCGTGCATACCTTCATGCTTGGTTTCGACATAGCAGATGCCAGTCGCCCTCCGCCTGGATGACCTCTACTTCGAGTCCTTTGAGATCCAGGACGTGAAGATGCTGCAGAGGGCCATTGGGAGGCTCTCCGGCAAAGGGGGAGAGTCCAAGATCAGACGATATCAAGGTGGCCAGGGACGCTCTCTGCTGTCTGATCTTGGCAGAGAGGTGTTTAGATATGGTAACATTTTAAAAGAAATTATTTACTGCTACCACCTACCCAGTGATTGTGGTTTGTGCAAAGAATTTGTCTCCAACCTGCGACGAGATAAGGAAGAATAGCTGCATCTGAGATGGGAAAAGTTAGTACCTGTGCTTTTCAATGTGATTATTATGTCTTATGATATTATGCTTTTGTGCAGAATATAACTCCTTATATATCAACATGTGTTGGCCATGAGGTGTGCTAGATTGAATACCAAGAGGTGGTGTGAATGGATTCTTCAGAATGTTTATCCTTCTATGTAGTTTGAAGTTCTTTCCCTGGATTTTGTACTAAGTGGGTCTACACAGTTTGACTTAGGTCCACACAGATTATCTACAATAAACAAATGGTTGACACAGACTTAGTTGACGCATTAGGTTTACAGGCTAAGTATGAGAGTGAGATAAACACCTAGATTTTTAATACTTCTGGCTTTTGTTAGCTAGTTAATCTCTCATGATTTGTTATGATGCATATATTTCTCAAAGTTCTATAAAAATATCAATATCCATGTTTTATCTTTGCCTTGATTATGTTTTGTGACAATGCTTTCAATGATTCCTACATGAAACAAATGGTTTTAAGCATGAACTACGTAATATATATAACTACTAGACCCATTAATTTTGATTTTGAGTAAGTTTTTAACAAGAATTTACGAGATTAATTAATGGCTTATAATTTCAATTAAATATAAAATAAGTGTTTGGGACACAAATGGCAACCTCTAGTAGGACATCACGAGAGTATCATCATTGCGGAAGAGCCATCTCAATACATCTACTTCTGATAAAGCCAGGCTTGGCCACCTAAATCTTGTTCAATTGTCTTAAATTCTTAGGTATTTATTTTATACCTGTTCACTCTTATCATTTGACTAGAACTCTATGTTTATCATGTTAATAATTTAGAATACTCCATCATCTTATATTCTTTTATTTCTCCCTGTTATATCAAGTTCATGGCCCTAGAACTATTAATCTTTTGGTTTGGCTCTCAACGACCAGTCCCTGAGTACTTTTGGATTGTATAACCAAATATTTTGAGACCTCTAATCTTTACATGCTGGTAATATCAATTCTTGCTAATCTTCACAAATCGATCAGTGAATTTTATCTGATCATTTGTTGATAATGTGATCTACATTCTCAGTCTACGTCAATAAGCAAACAGGATGAACCATCATGGGTAATAAGATCAAAGAACAAAATATCCATTCCATTTCAGATCCATACAGGGTTCCATTTTCATATATTTATATATATATATATATAGTAACTAAAATAGCCCAAAAATTAATTAAATTGAAAATTTAATTGACATATAGTAACTACTTGAGGAAAAAATAAAAGTACAAAAAATAATATAAAAAAATCTTATCACTTTTATTACATTAACCATTGAGAAACATAAGAATGGATAATCTATATCGTAGAGAAGTTAAATCGACTTGGAAATATCCTCAATAATGTTCTAGGGACGTTCATATGGACTATATTTATTTGATTAACTATGAGACCTTGATTGCGGATTATAAATCAGTACTTGCATTCATGAAGACATTTTGCATTCCAGATTTTACAAATGGAGACGGAAGAATCATTCAAAAAGAAAAAAAAAGATGAATTTGCAATAATCCATAAGAACCCTTTAAGCACATTCCACATCCATCTTTAGCGTCAACAATAAGACCTGAAATAAAATTTATCCCCGGTAAATTTACTTTACTGGAACCAGTTTATAAAATGAATACAAGCAGCTATCAAGGATAGAGTACATCGCTATACCGGGAATCAAAAACGAGAAGGCAGCCAGGCGGGCCGCACAAAGAAGATCAATGAATGGAAGTGTTGTTAATCAGTCTTGGGGGCCAACCAAGTCAGAAAATTGATTCATGCGCCAAACCATACTATTGAAACTCACCGTAATAAACTTTCATCAACTAATGAACAAACCAGAACTTAGAGAGAGAACATTGATGAAGAGCAAGCTTTAAAGAGGTTAAATGATGAAGTCAACCAACTGGGTTATAGGCATATCGAACCTAGTTCACCTGGCCTGCAGATCTAATCATCCACAAAAATGTACCCTTGAAATTTACCACAAGAAGCCTTATTCCAAGTCAGAAACAAAACCAGAACTGAAGAGAGACCATACATCAACCAAGAATGAGCTTTCGCCGCAACAGTGTAAAACTTAAATTTACCTTCATCAATGTTTGACCCCCCATCCCCCAAAAGAGATCTACCCAAGTCAAACTCATGTCTGAGGCATGCTCCCCCACCTCACCAATTATAGTCTATGATTTCGCCTCGTCAGCTATTCACTGGATCAATACTCATAATGATCCCCATAAACAGAACCGAAGCCACCACCATGCCCAGTATTTGAAGGGGGAGGAGACCCATACGTAGATCCCTGTGAGTGGTACGAATTGTAACTCTGATCTTGATTGGAAGCTGCGTTATGGGCGGATCCCATAGCTTCAGCCATGAAATTCTGCAATTTATGTAAGAGAGTAAATCAAGGGGACAGTGGGATAATTGCAGTGAAAAATTATAAATAATTCTGAAACCCCAACAGAGCAGCAAAACAATCTTGCAATAAAAGCATTTAATCAACCTAGTAATCATAAGAAAATCCATACTTCATACACTAACCCAATTGGTCATCTCCCATCAAAGGAAATAAAAAAGAGAGTGATAGCATGCCTGGATCAACTGCTGGGCAGTCTGGACTTGACTTGCACTCCCATTGATTTCAACTGTCATCTCTCCAGGCACACCCGTTGTTTCCTGTATCGTGATCGTCGCTCCACTGGCACGTCGGATGTAGCTAATGCTCGAACCAGATATTCCGATCACTGCATCGGCATATGAAAGTGGAATCTGCATATGCTCTGTGACCTGTAGTAGATGCTCCTCACAATCAAAATAGGGAGAAGTTACATGATATTCTCATCATATAGTTCATTTCCATTGGTGGACACATAGGACAGGATACCTGCGACATCATTGGTTGCTGTGATTGAATATTAGCTGATGTGTGAAGCCCTGAGACGGACAGCATTTCACGGCCATATGCTGACACACCGTGGTGAGGGGGATGCTCATCCAGGGTATGAAGATCTGACAATGGGAGGAAGCTGCCTTGTATACCAGGTGTGAAGGGAGGAGGGTTGCCCCCATAGCCAGGACCACTGACATGGGGGGATAGGCCTCGAGTGCGGCCCCAAGATTTGGACCCCAGCAAATCCTGCTCCATATGAGCACTAGGCAGCGGCGCCTGCAGATGCACAATGGAGCTGGTGATTTATACACGACCAATAGCTGGCAAAGAGAAGAGAAAGTGACTAATCGTCGTTATTGGAAGATGGAGAAGGTAGGCTACATACCCGTGTCTCAAAAAGAGGGAGGACACTGTGGTCAACTAGAAATTTCCTCAAATGGCCTGCAATTAGTTCAAGGGCCTTGTGAACAGCAGGCGGCTCCCCCACTATCTCAACCACTCTATCATCTTGAAGAGCAAAGACGGGTAAATCTTCTACAATATAAGATGAAACGCAAAATGGATAAGTATACATGAGAAAATGCTGATTGAAATAGTAAGCGCGAGATGGTGTAATGATCAGTCTCCATATAGAGCAAAAGTTCTTGAATGTGCGAATAATTGACTTAAAAATAACATTTATTCTGAAGGTGATGCCCTTTGTTTCCTGAATAACAATTAAAAATAGCAAAAGTTCTTGAACTTTGTTGGATTTCAGGTCGATATCCTGAACTGGCTCAGACTAGCAGGACCCCAGACAGATTTCATGCCTAGTTACACATGAATTCGATCAAAATGGATATAAATAAAATATTATTCCCAGTCACTGCCATAGAATCCCCATTTAAGGCCACAAGGTCTCTCAGGAAGAGAAAACAACGAATTTTTATCAGATTCAGAGCTTCCAATTCATGCATGCCGTAAAACATTCGTGCCACACGGAGTCAGCAGCCGGAGGCAAAAATGACTGGTGTGAATTGTAACGAACATATGCGAAATGACCACTAATGTCGTGCATTGAACTAGAGATGTGACTACCCATACCGACAATCCGAACAACACTCTTTGAAGCTTCTTGAATGGATCTTATCACTGCTCCATGCTTTCCAATGAGACTACCCGCTTGGCTAGATGATACTAGAAGTCGGGTGGAAACATGGCCACCAGTACCGGAAGTCTGAGCTGATTCCCCCCCATCCAAACCATCAATAATGCGTTTATGAACCCTCAGAAGACCATCCATTGCAGGAGGCAGAGAAGCATGTGGCTCCTCTTTTGCAGAAATCATTACCTATTAGAACAAATTGAAATGTCAAGAAAATAATCACCAATTGGAACCACAAAGGAACGTGGAAGAAAGACAACGCTTTAATTTTTTAGATACAAGTACACACGATATCATATCCCCTCCTAAAGAACAATTACACCGCTTAAAATTTGAAGAATCATAATCAATCGGGAATTATAGATTGATGAACACTGCTACAGACATAAACTGACACCAACTTTAGCACAATAAAATAGATAGGCAACTCAAACCAAACAAGCTAGAAAATAACACATGGATGCTACGGCATTTCTGTTGTCTACATTAACCATTTAGCACACTGGAATCAAAGATTCGGCCAAACAAAATGTGTGACGACCAAAAGTTCAAATCAAAGCAACCAAATCAGCAAAGGAAAGCCTGAGATCCGAAATCATATGTTAGGAACTTTCTCTTCTTATTTATTAGGTATTTTATCAGATCTAAGACGGAAATGGTCATCTGTAATGGTCTGAAGTTTAATATAAACCTACTGGGCACAATTAATGCATGAATATAAATCCAAAGATGTATCGTACAGATGACTAAAAATGCACCGGGTCAAGGGGTAACACAATCCTTGTGACCACCCCCTATCATAGATCCAACATCAAACACTACTGCGGATTGGATCATTTTAGGAGTTCCACAACAACCGTAGCCTATGGGTTAAAAAGACCCATTTCGGTAAAATCCTATGGATTAAAAAGACTCATTTGAAAATCATGGTATCCCAATTGCAGCATTATTGATGGGTCTTTTTGCATGGGGGAAACTTTGCATGTTCCAGACATCAATCTGGATTGGAATTATAAGCAGCACCAGTTCAATTCAACCGCATACCATGATTTTAAAATGATTTCAATGTCTTTGATACGCACTGCCACAGTGACATAAAATATTACTGGCCAATTCTGCCAGGGTATTGATCATGGTTCGACAAAACTATGGTGCAACAGCTGGGAAACGGAATTTTATAAGTTTCTATAGATCATCGTAACCAAGGTTGGAAATTAGATGCAGGCACATAGAAAGCATCAAAGCTCTAATATAAAACGATGAGTGACATTAAAACCCAAGAAAAGTAGAAACTATGAGAGAATCTTACATCGCAAACTTGTAATTTATGCAGACATCCACTTGGATCAGTCAGGCAAAACACCAAATCAGAAGCAAAGTAAGGTGGAGAGTACCAAATGCCATCCATTTTTTTCCCCTAGCTCAAGATTCATCTAAAAAAAGCAAAACATCACATTTCCCCACTATATTTTATTAAAAGCTGTCTTCGTTTGAATTTCTCCATATCTATGACCTCTAGCTATGACACTCAAGGGAATTTATTCATATGCTGAATTGCAAATAAAGCAGGGCGGTTAAATTTAACCAGTCCTTAAGCACAACGCATTGATTTCCATGAAAATGCTAAATCCATATGGATACATATACAGCGGCAGTTCACCTTAGATATCTGTTTGTCATTTTCTGTATAATTTCTTCAATCATCACCAGCTATGACTAAAGACAATCATAGACCTAGTCCTAAAAGATGTTCATAGAACGAGGGTAACGTTTTTATTTGTCATTGATAAAAGTCACTTTTAAAACACATTTAAATATGAATTTCAAGTTGGACAGCAATGCTCTTGAGTGAACTTGAGCACCATATTCGTTTCCAATTACAATAGGAAGCTTCTTGAAGCAGCTTGCCCAACCATGAAGAAATCAGCCAACCGAGTTCTGAAGTTACCATGATAAAAAAGTGAAGCTTCATACAATAGTCATTCGATGAAGATAACCCAAAAATGCCCTTTTCGACAAAATCCTCAGGAGATGTACAGCTTAAACATTGAAACCTGCAATCTGGTAGCCTGTTTCTTCTATATTGGAGATTCACAATTGACCTGTTGCCTTAGGTCTGCAGAGAAACCTGCACAGATTCACTCTAGTTACTGGGATTGAAGTACCACAGATGGGATTATGCAGCTTGATTAAGTTTGCATTTCTCCTTATTCATTGCTAAAGCCACCACTGAGTTATTGTTTCTCATTAACGTCTTTTGGGATACCTTATCTAGGAGAAACTAATGCATGAAATTTTAATGGTCCACAGCTTTACGCAACCCAACATTTAACACTGAGTTTACAAGGTGAAGTGTATGATGTTTAAAATGGATAGGAATCAAGCAAATTGCAACCTGTGCATCAGCCTAGGCATTTTGCGCAGTCGAAAGATGCACCAATAACTGTCATCTCAGTTGATGACGTCAGATAGAGGCCCAAAGACTACTAAGCGATATAGCATTTTGTCCGAGACACAATCGAATAAGAAGTAAACCTAGTTAATAGCCTGACAAACCGTCTGCCTTCACTACAGCCTATTCTATGTTTATTTTCCACTTTCCTAATAAGAAGTCTGCTTCTCTGCTTAGAATTCTGACCCTATTAAATCCAAACAGAAATAACTCAAACGGTAAAGATAGGCAATTCTTTTAATCATAATTAGAAATGAACTTGATTGAATAAAACCACTGGAAAAAAAAAGTAAATTGTCGAATTAATTTTAGAACACAGCAGCTTGCGTTAAAATTTCAATTTCACAAGCCTTCCTCCTGGCTGAGAAATATGTGACTCGAGTTATCTAGCAGAGTTGCCATTTCTACAAAGTTGTGACCAGTATGGGAGAATCAAAACCCTTCAACATTCTGGGAATCAGATGCCTGCTGATACGTTGTTCCTTACCCTTTGAAGGTTAAAATAACATGGGTACCCTCCGTGGGATCAAGTAATAGCCTAAAGTTTCCAGATAATTTATTAAACAGACAGGACAAAGCTGCATCCAATACAAAGTCCGCTCAGGGTCAGGCTGGATCCAGTTCAGTAAACCATCAGCACTGAAGGACCCAGGTCACTTAGGCTTCCTGAGTATTACATGAGAATAATGAAACCACAAAGAACAACACAAAGATATCAGGACACTGAGGGAAAAAGCAGCTGTGGGGCAAATGATACCCTAAATGAGACAGTGAAATAAATAGACCATTTCCATCATCAAACTTGCTTCCCAGCTCCCAACGCAATTGAATGGCAACCATGTCATTATTCAGGGTTTACAACAACGATTAGGCTTCGTGAAGCAGTCAAACAAATGACTTACAGTTCTTTCTGGTGCACCAGGAGGACCATCAAGAATCTTAATTCTAGATCTAGATTCTTCACACGTTTTCTTGATAAACTCTCCTTTGCGGCCAATCAAACCACCAACTTTCTGAGAGGGAACTAATATCCGAAAAACACTATCACCAGGCCACCCAGGCCACTTCTTATCTCCACCTGTGGCATCCCAATCTTCGTCATTATCTTCTTCCTGTAGAACTTGCTCATTACCTTGCTCAAGATCTTCATCATGCTCATGAGAATTCTCCATGAGTTCAGACATAGTTGACTGCATGGTAGCAAACAACAATAGTAAGCCTAAGCCTTCCTTAAATCATAATAAAATTTCCATAGGAACATATGAAACTAGAAAATTTAATCATAAGGGAATCTCATGAAAATCGCAAAAAAGTAAAAAATTACAAGAACTCAATATGAATAAAAATCAAAAGACAAGCAGTAATTCCGTATTAAAATATTAGCAAAAAATGGAGATTTAATCAGCACTACAAAGTCGGCTGACATAAAAGGTGGTGCAGATACTATGGAGGATCTCTCATTGAGATTTTGTCCTTGAAAGTGCTTTAAACGGAAGGTTTTCAAGATGAAAGCATTAGAATTCTCCAATGCAAATGATAATGGAAGAAGGGATATCAATTTGGAGGCAGAACCCAGATGCCATATTAGATGCATCCACACCCACTCCTACACAACTACAGCAGGCAAACAATATCAGAGGTACTCCTAAGAAACTGATATAAATCCACCAAAACAGAAATAAAATTCACCAGACAGACACCAAGAAATCTCTTGAGAATTCTTCTGAATGATATTCTCCAATTGAGATTCATATTTCAAAACCTTGGAGATTATTTCAAGTTAATTATGAATATGATGGCGTTTTCCAGGTAATCTACTCAAAATAGAATCAGCGCCTTCTAATGATCTCACATCCATGGCTATCCATGGGGCTTACGATAAAACAGTGAAGCAATTAACAGAGAAAGCTCATAAGGATTTTGATCAACCCCACTAAGCCTATCATGGCTCTGATGAAGCCTTTATGTTTGCAGCATTGAGACTGGAAAAAACACGGTTTTTCTCTTCCTTTCCTGGTTTGTAAAGTAAAATGCGGAATGTGGAGCCAATTTTATAATATAAAGAAAAGATGCAACAAGCAAAGGTTGAACTGAGCTGTCTCAACTTTGCAGCAAAAGCACAACTTGTCAATGTCATACAGATTCCCTGACATTCAAGTGTAATAGGCCGTGATACCTAAACCCCAATACCCTGGGAAATATTAACTAATTTCCTTATAGGAACTTGCATCAACTAAGTTAAGCTCTGACAAACCGTCAAATCAGGCTTAAATTTGACCCTAGCAGCTTTTTTGTGTTTATTTCAGCAAACAAGTTCGGTGCATTATTCAATAAAAGTAAATATTGATGTACTATTATTAAATTATATATACTGAAATATGTTCTCAACTATCAAAACTTTAAAGCACACCAAAGTATGACATTGGCAGTAAGTTCTACTTATATTCGAGCCTAACCATCAAACACCATTAGATAGGGTCATGGAACACATGACCAATAGGAAGGCAATGCCTGCATGAATTCCTTAGAAAACAACTCTCTCACAGTAAAAGGACCACTATATACAGTCTAAATTAAATTTTTGGAGCTCTTCCTTTAGTCGGGATCTCAAGGAAAACTAGACATTCCCTTGGCACCATACTCAGTAAGTAGTGCACCAGTGTCCAGATGTCTTTACACATCAAGTACACTACATTTCAGTCAGAAATAACAGATACCTTTAAGTGATCAACCATATAGTATACATTTGATATCCGGACAATGAATTTATTTCTATGGAAATTAGCCGACTTCTGCTAATTTAAGTTTTAACGATCAGCATAAAGTTTTAATACCATATATATCACAAAAACCATAATTCCCTGGACATCTCCGAGTTAAGTTTATTCTACATGCTCCAATATATTTCATTATATAGATAACTGACAAAAAAACTTAAATTGTCTGTCAAATCGCCTTGGATAGTTTCACTAGCTTCTCAAATGAAAATATCAAAAGAAGCTCCATCAGGTATTTCATCATCAATATGAAATGGTAAGTGACACCATAGGTCATTAACCTCAATTTTCCTCCATTCTTGTCGTAAGAATATGAGAAGATCATCAATGGCTTACATAATTACATTTTCTCAGTATCAATGATTGACTTTTAAAGTTACCTAATCATGTTATAGCATTCTCATAGTCATTTTCCCTGTAGAAATTCCATTTTATATGAATCTCAGCTAAAATTCCATCAAACAAACGATACATTAGCACCCCCAAATCAATAAATTCAAAAAGCATGTGTGAAAGGCTGGGATGGGACCCTCCCATAAGGACTCAAAGACAGCCATGGATTCATGTGAGCTGAATCTGCCCGGGCTTGCCTAACCTGAGCCCAGGAATAACACACAAAAGCCATGTGATGAGAATATGTATCAAGAGGTTTATCAGTAATTTGAACAACACCAGATTCAAACTGCAGTTTGAGAAGGAGGAAAAATAAGGTTAACTCAAAAACCAGCTTCTCGTTTTCTGGATGATTATTCTCCCAGCTCACCATAATATCAGTTGGCATCCTACTTGACCGTTGAATAGAACAAAGGTAATAGAACATCAATAAGATCATAATGCATCATTTCAAAAGAATATTTGAGCAGTCGATATGCTGATAGAGGCAACATCAACACTAGAAACACATACACAAGCAACGATTATATAGAGAGAAAAAATTGCAGGTCAAACCAGGTTAATTTTTCCAGCATGATACAATTAATAAGATATACATTACAACAAATCGATCAACCCGTAGGACTCTTACAATGTTTCCATATTCCAATTCGTAAAGAAGGATATCAAGAATTGGAGGCAATATCCCGACTACGTCGCCAAGAAAGACATGGAGCACACAAAAGCCAGGGGACATCACCTAGAAGAAAGTCGGCACTTCGACAAAAGCGGAGCTCCACCCCCAGGAAAAATGTAGAAAAATGAGAACCCTAATCCTCTGAGGGGGAGAGCATACAGGGAGGAGAGAACAATCACGCGGCCTAGAACCCGGCGTACAGACCCGCCAAACAACGCCTGAAATCTTGCTCTTACCTTTGTTTTTCCCTCGCAGTGCTCGACGGGGGAGCCTCTCACCCCAGCAAGAAGGGGACACCGAAATTAGTAGGAATAGGCGCCGGATTTTATCAGTGGACGAGCGAGAGAGAGAAAGAGAAACACGTGAGGAGGTGTATCCCGTCTCATTTTTCATCATTTTATACCCCGCAGCTCTCTCTACCCGTCTAGATCGTCCACCATCCCCCCCCCCCAAAAATCTCTGGTCGCACTACGCCCAAGTCAACAGACGCCCACAGTCCACCTGGTTCGACCCTCTCTCCCCGCCCTTTGTTCAGAGACCTCTGTTCAGTCATACGAGAAGAGCCATTAACAAGGGACAAGATCTGTAAAAGTCACCAATGGCTCTTCCTCATAAACATGAGGGTCTTCGTTGTTATCTAAAGAGCTTCCACGAGGTCCTCTTGGGGGAGGGGGGGGGAGAAGATGCCCTAGTATGGTGATGATCGCCAAGGCCGCATGCAGTGGAGCAGAAGAAGTTCGTGCATTGGTGACCATATGACAATTGATAACAGAACAAGTTTATTTCATTTTGGCAAAAGGAGAGAGCTGCAGAGTGTGAAGCTTATGGTCGAAGAATAAAAGAGCAGATGGCCTTGTTGGCCACCATAGTGCAGATTATGGACGCTCGTTTCCATACATTAGAGGGGGCACTTGGGGGACGTCCAAGTGGCCGCCGGAGAGGCAGCTACCCACTTCAGTTCAGTGTGAATGGAAAACTACCTAGTCTGAAACATTCCTTATGGTTGGTTGTATCTAAAGAAAAATGGATGTTTTTAAGTCAAAAACAGAAGCCACCTTATCCAACATCCTCAGTATGGCATTCCACATTCAATCTGTAAAAGGGATCAAAAGGTAAGCAAGTTAATTTGTACTTGTCATGCCCAAAATTAACTTCCTACATGGTTTGGACTAGCTCAGCTACTGAATTTAAAAGGATAACTGAGATGATGGCACTAGTCTTATTCCTAGTGATGATATTTAATACTCAGAGTTTATAGTTGAAACTTGTAGAAGCAAATATTTCATTTCTGGTTCAAACACAATTGATCTAAACAATTGGGGTAGGGATGGCATTTGACAATTATTCTTCTCAGAGCTTCTCCCTCCAATTTTACTTGCCCCAATCCTTGATCAAGTGACTAATTATGTAAGGTAATGGAAGGCCATGTTGTAGATTTAATATTGTTAATAGGCTTATTGTCAAACACGCCGTAGATGGGGGGCATATGCTGGGGCCTAAGTTATTCACAATTATATGTAACACTTAGGAAATCATAAATGGATGCGAAGAGTCTCCTCTTGCTGTGTAGACCGGAGAATGAAGCTCCTTAACATGCGCCCCCACCTTTATCTAGCTTCTCTCTGTTGGGTGACAGCTGTTGGAGACAATTCGACGACCTATTTCATTGATCTCTAGATTTCACAAGGAAATCTAGAGATTACTTACATCGTCTTTGTCCAAGGAAAGCCTTCAAGTCCATAGACACCTACATAATGATCATCTCGAACACTTAAGATTTCGGTGCATCACTGACGCATCGCTGCCGCAACGTCGGAACTCTATTTTTCTGCTTTCAATTTAATTTCTACTTCATTTAGTGATAATTTATGTGATTTAAATTTACAAAGTTATCCTTGATTCAATCATAATTCTTTTGTCTTTTACATATCTTAATTTGATCAATTAAATCATTTGTAATCGCTTGCGTAAGAATCACCAAGCAGAACTCTATTTCTGTTCAATTTACGTTCATCAGACGCTGATGTCATCTTGACATCCGCACCCCTATTTTCCTTTTTCATAAATTTTAAATATATTTTATTTTTATTTCCTAATATAAAATTTGTAGAAAATCATATTCTTTAAAGAAAATTCTAAATAATTACCTGATATTATATTGCATCCTTATGATCAACTTAAAAAATTACCACTATTTTTAAAAGTTTTGTTGAATTATAATTGATATATTTTTTCAGAAATACTTCTAAATATCTGACAATTGATATTTTCTAGTTTTATAAATTTTAAATTTACGTGATTTATTATACAACGACTAAGTCACATCAAATTTTGACACCGTTGTTGGGAA